GCGGCATGCTCAGGGGAGGGGGAGGTGGGGCGGAGGGTGAGGGACGCTTGGCTGCCGGTGGGTGCAGAGCACCCACTGATTTTTCTCAGTGGGTGCTCCAGGCCCCGAGCACCCTCAGAGTCGTGCCTATTGCAGGGAGGGAGGGGAAGGTGCTGATCGGCTGGGCTGCTGACGTATTACAGTGGCTCTTTGGCAATGTACATTGGTAAATTCTGGCTCCTTCTCAGGCTCAGTTTGGCCACCCCTGGCTTATTGGAACATCTCTAAGGGTGAGATTTACTTGTATTCAGTTTCTTAATGTATTAGGCTTAGACTTGTGTGTTTTGTTTTATTTGGCTTGGTAACTTACTTTGTTCTGTCTGTTATTACTTGAAACCACTTAAATCTTACTCTTTATACTTAATAAAATCACTTTTGTTTGTTAATTAACCCAGAGTAAGTGATTAATACCTGGGGGAGCAAACAGCTGTGCATATCTCTCTATCAGTGTTTTAGAGGGTGAACAATTTAAGAGTTTACCCTATATAAGCTTTATAAAGAGTAAAATGGATTTATTTGGAGTTTGAATCCCATTGGGAGCTGGGAGTCTGGGTGCTGGAGACAGAAGCACTTCTTAAGCTGTTTTCAGTTAAGTCTGCAGCTTTGGGGGTGTGGTTCAGACCCTGGGGCTGTGTTGCAGCAGGCTTACGTGTCTGGCTCAACAAGGCAGAGTTCTGGAGGCCCAAACTGGCAGAGAAAATGGGCTCAGAGGTAATCTCAGCACATCAGGTGACAGTCTCAAGGTAGTCTCTGTGACTGAACCCATCACAGGTACCTTCTTTACATTTTGTCAAATCTGCAGTGAAAGTGTTCTTAAAATGAACAACATGTGCTGGGTTATCATCCGAGCCTGCTATAATATGAAATATATGGCAGAATGCGGGTAAAACAGAGGAGGGGACATACAATTCTCTCCCAAGGAGTTCAGTCACAAATTTAATTAACGCATTATTTTTTTTAACGAGCATTATCAGCATGGAAGCATGTCTTCTGGAATGGTGGCGGAAGCATGAAGGGGCATACAAATGTTTAGCATATCTGGCATGTAAATACCTTGCAATGCCGGCTAAAAAAGTGCCATGCAAATGCCTGTTCTCACTTTCTGGTGACACTGTAAATAAGAAGAGGGCAGCATTATCTCCTGTAAATGTAAACAAACTTGTTTGTCTTAGTGATTGGCTGAACAACAAGTAGGACTGAGTGGACTTGTAGGCTCTGAAGTTTTACATTATTTTGTTTATGAGTGCAGTTATATAACAAAAAAAATCTACATTTGTCAGTTGCACTTTCATGACAAAGGTTTCGCTACTGTACTTGTATGAGGTGAATTGAAAAATAATATTTCTTTTATCATTTTTACAGTGCAAATATTTTTAATAAAAAATAATAAACACTTTGATTTCAATTACAACACAGAATACAATATATATGAAAATGTAGAAAAACATGCAAAATATTTAATAAATTTCTATTGGGATTATATTGTTTAACAGTGCGATTAAAGCTGCGATTAATGATGATTAAATTTTTTAATCGTGATTAATTTTTTAAAAATTAAATAAATTAAATTAAATTAAATTAAATTTAAAATTTAAATTAAATCACATGAGTTAACTGCGATTAATCAACAGCCCTAATTTATTATTATTGTAAGATATTCCATAGATGAAAAATGGAGGCAGTTTTGAACTTGGAGCATCTCTTAACAGTATCTTATGAACATGCATTATTTGTCAAGAAAAAAAGGACACTTTTTTGCTTCTAGTGAACAGGGATCGGCCAGGAGCGCCTGGGCAGACATGGGCGCAGGGACTTAATTTGGAGTGACTTGACCAGGTCATTCTCTTTAGTCCTGCAGTCAGTCCTATTGAACTGTCTTATGGTGAGCAGGCAGGCGATACGGATTGCTAGCAGTTGTACTGTACCATCTTCTGCTGGGCAGGCAAGAGATGAGGATGGCTAGCAGTCCTATTGCACCATCTTCTGCCGGGCAGGCAAGAGATGAGGATGGCATGCAGTCCTTCTGCACTGTCTGCTGCCAGCCAAAGATGTAAAAGATAGATGGAGTGGATCAAAACAAGAAATAGACCAGATTTGTTTTGTACTCATTTGCTTCCCCCTCCTCCCCCGTCTAGGGGACTTATTCCTCTAGGTCACACTGCAGTCACTCACAGAGAAGGTGCAGCAAGGTAAATCTAGCCATGTATCAATCAGAGGCCAGACTAACCTCCTTGTTCCATTAAGAACAATAACTTAGGTGCACCATTTCTTATTGGAACCCTCCGTGAAGTCCTGCCTGAAATACTCATTGATGTAAAGCCACCCCCTTTGTTGATTTTAGCTCCCTGAAGCCAACCCTGTAAGCCATGTCATCAGTCGCCCCTCCCTCCGTCAGAGCAAGGGCAGACAATCGTTCCGCGCCTTTTTTCTGTGCGGACGCCATTCCAAGGCAAGCATGGAGGCCGCTCAGCTCACTTTGGCAATTAGGAGCACATTAAACGCCACACGCATTATCCAGCAGTATATGCAGCACCAAAACCTGGCAGAGTGATACCGGGCGAGGAGGCGACGTCAGCGCGGTCACGTGAGTGATCAGGACATGGACACAGATTTCTCTGAAAGCATGGGCCCTGCCAATGCATGCATCATGGTGCTAATGGGGCAGGTTCATGCTGTAGAACGCTGATTCTGGGCTCGGGAAACAAGCACAGACTGGTGGGACTGCATAGTGTTGCAGGTCTGGGACGATTCCCAGTGGCTGCGAAATTTTTGCATGCGTAAGGGCACTTTCATGGAACTTTGTGACTTGCTTTCCCCTGCCCTGAAGCGCTGAATACCAAGATGAGAGCAGCCCTCACAATTGAGAAGCAAGTGGCGATAGCCCTGTGGAAGCTTGCAACGCCAGACAGCTACCGGTCAGTTGGGAATCAATTTGGAGTGGGCAAGTCTACTGTTGGGGCTGCTGTGATGCAAGTAGCCCACGCAATCAAAGATCTGCTGATATCAAGGGTAGTGACCCTGGGAAATGTGCAGGTCATAGTGGATGGCTTTGCTGCAATGGGATTCCCTAACTGTGGTGGGGCCATAGACGGAACCCATATCCCTATCTTGGCACCAGAGCACCAAGCCGGCGAGTACATAAACCACAAGGGGTACTTTTCAATAGTGCTGCAAGTCCTGGTGGATCACAACATCAACGTGGGATGGCCGGGAAAGGTACATGACGCTCGCATCTTCAGGAACTCTGGTCTGTTTCAAAAGCTGCAGGAAGGGACTTTATTCCCAGACCAGAAAATAACTGTTGGGGATGTTGAAATGCCTATATGTATCCTTGGGGACCCAGCCTACCCCTTAATGCCATGGCTCATGAAGCCATACACAGGCAGCCTGGATAGTAGTCAGGAGCTGTTCAACTACAGGCTGAGCAAGTGCAGAATGGTGGTAGAATGTGCATTTGGACGTTTAAAGGCGTGCTGGCGCAGTTTACTGACTCGCTTAGACCTCAGCGAAACCAATATTCCCACTGTTATTACTGCTTGCTGTGTGCTCCACAATATCTGTGAGAGTAAGGGGGAGACGTTTATGGCGGGGTGGGAGGTTGAGGCAAATTGCCTGGCTGCTGGTTACGCGCAGCCAGACACCAGGGTGGTTAGAAGAGCACAGGACGGTGCGGTACGCATCAGAGAAGCTTTGAAAACAAGTTTCATGACTGGCCAGGCTACGGTGTGAAAGTTCTCTTTGTTTCTCCTTGATGAAACCCCCCGCCCCTTGGTTCACTCTACTTCCCTGCAAGCTAACCACCCTCCTCTCCTCCCTTTAATCATTGCTTGCAGAGGCAATAAAGTCATTGTTGCTTCACATTCATGCATTCTTTATTCATTCATCACACAAATAGGGGGATGACTACCAAGGTAGCCCAGGAGGGGTGGTGGAGGAGGGAAGGAAAATGCCACACAGCACTTTAAAAGTTTACAACTTTAAAATTTATTGAATGCCAGCCTTCTTTTTTTTGGGCAATCCTCTGTGGTAGAGTGGCTGGTTGGCCGGTGGCCCCCCCACCGCGTTCTTGGGCGTCTGGGTGTGGAGGCTATGGAACTTGGGGAGAAGGGCGGTTGGTTACACAGGGGCTGTAGTGGCAGTCTGTGCTCCAGCTGCCTTTGCTGCAGCTCAACCATACACTGGAGCATACTGGTTTGGTCCTCCAGCAGCCTCAGCATTGAATCCTGCCTCCTCTCATCACGCTGCTGCCACATTTGAGCTTCAGCCCTGTCTTCGGCCCGCCACCTCTCCTCCCGGTCATTTTGTGCTTTCCTGAACTCTCACATTATTTGCCTCCACGCATTCGTCTGTGCTCTGTCAGTGTGGGAGGACAGCATGAGCTCAGAGAACATTTCATCACGAGTGCGTTTTTTTTTCTTTCTAATCTTCACTAGCCTCTGGGAAGGAGAAGATCCTGTGATCATTGAAACACATGCAGCTGGTGGAGGAAAAAAAAAGGGACAGCGGTATTTAAAAAGACACTGTCAAGGTTCCTCCCCCACTCTGAACTCTAGGGTACAGATGTGGGGACCTGCATGAAAACCTCCTAAGCTTATCTTTACCAGCTTAGGTCAAAACTTCCCCAAGGTACAAAATATTCCACCCGTTGTCCTTGGACTGGCCGCTACCACCACCAAACTAATACTGGTTACTGGGGAAGAGCTGTTTGGACGCGTCCTTCCCCCCAAAATACTTCCCAAAACCTTGCACCCCACTTCCTGGACAAGGTTTGGTAAAAAGCCTCACCAATTTGCCTAGGTGACTACAGACCCAGACCCTTGGATCTTAAGAACAATGAACAATCCTCCCAACACTTGCACCCCCCCTTTCCTGGGAAATGTTGGATAAAAAGCCTCACCAATTTGCATAGGTGACCACAGACCCAAACCCTTGGATCTGAGAACAATGAAAAAGCATTCAGTTTTTTACAAAAAGACTTTTAATAAAAAATAGAAGTAAATAGAAATAAAGAAATCCCCCCTGTAAAATCAGGATGGTAGATATCTTACAGGGTAATTAGATTCAAAAACATAGAGAACCCCTCTAGGCAAAACCTTAAGTTACAAAAAAGATACACAGACAGAAATAGTTATTCTATTCAGCACAATTATTTTCTCAGCCATTTAAAGAAATCATAATCTAACACATACCTAGCTAGATTACTTACTAAAAGTTCTAAGACTCCATTCCTGGTCTATCCCCGGCAAAGACCCAGCATACAGACAGACACAGACCCTTTGTTTCTCTCCCTCCTCCCAGCTTTTGAAAGTATCTTGTCTCCTCATTGGTCATTTTGGTCAGGTGCCAGCGAGGTTACCTTTAGCTTCTTAACCCTTTACAGGTGAGAGGAGCTTTCCCCTGGCCAGGAGGGGTTTCAAAGGGGTTTACCCTTCCCTTTATATTTATGACAAGTGCGTTTTTTTTTCTTTCTAATCTTCACTAGCCTCTGGGAAGGAGAAGATCCTGTGATCATTGAAACACATGCAGCTGGTGGAGAAAAAAAAAGGGACAGCGGTATTTAAAAAGACACATTTTATAAAACAGTGGCTACAGTCTTTCAGGGTAAACCTTGCTGTTAACATTACATACATAGCACATGTGCTTTCGTTACAAGGTCGCATTTTGCCTCCCCCTACCGCGTGGCTACCCCCTCAACCCTCCCCCCCTCCCCGTGGCTAACAGCGGGGAACATTTCTGTTCAGCCACAGGCAAACAGCTCAGCAGGAACGGGCTCCTCTGAATGTCCCCTGAAGAAAAGCACCCTATTTCAACCAGGAGACCATGAATGATATCTCACTCTCCTGAGGATAACACAGAGAGATAAAGAACGGATGTTGTTTGAACGCCAGCAAACATACACTGCAATGCTTTGTTGTACAATGATTCCCAAGTACATGTTACTGGCCTGGAGTGGTAAAGTGTCCTACCATGAAGGACGCAATAAGGCTGCCCTCCCCAGAAACCTTTTGCAAAGGCTTTGGGAGTACATCCAGGAGAGCCGCGAATGCCAGGGCAAATTAATCCTTTCACATGCTTCCTTTTAAACCATGTATAGTATTTTAAAAGGTACACTCACCGGAGGTCCCTTCTCCGCCTGCTGGGTCCAGGAGGCAGCCTTGGGTGGGTTCGGGGGGTACTGGCTCCCGGTCCAGGGTGAGAAACAGTTCCTGGCTGTCGGGAAAACCGGTTTCTCCGCTTGCTTGCTGTGAGCTATCTACAACCTCATCATCATCATCATCATCTTCTTCTTCGTCCCCAAAACCTGCTTCCGTGTTGCCTCCATCTCCATTGAAGGAGTCAAACAACACGGCTGGGGTAGTGGTGGCTGAACCCCCTAAAATAGCATGCAGCTCATCATAGAAGCGGCATGTTTGGGGCTCTGACCCGGAGCGGCTGTTCGCCCCTCTGGTTTTCTGGTAGGCTTGCCTCAGCTCCTTAAGTTTCACGCGGCACTGCTTCGGATCCCTGCTATGGCCTCTGTCCTTCATGCCCTGGGAGATTTTGACAAAGGTTTTGGCATTTCGAAAACTGGAACAGAGTTCTGATAGCATGGATTCCTCTCCCCATACAGCGATCAGATCCTGTACCTCCCGTTCAGTCCATGCTGGAGCTCTTTTGCGATTCTGGGACTCCATCATGGTCACCTCTGCTGATGACCTCTGCATGGTCACCTGCAGCTTGCCACTGCTGGCCAAATAGGAAATGAGATTCAAAAGTTCGCAGTTCTTTTCCTGTCTACCTGGCCAGTGCATCTGAGTTGAGAGTGCTGTCCAGAGCGGTCACAATGGAGCATTCTGGGATAGCTCCTGGAGGCCAATACCGTCGAATTGTGTCCACAGTACCCCAAATTCGACCCAGCAAGGCCGATTTAAGTGCTAATCCACTTGTCAGGGGTGGAGTACGGAAATCGATTTTAAGACCCCTTTAAGTCGAACTAAAGGGCTTCATCGTGTGGACGGGTGCAGGTTTACATCGATTTAACGCTGCTAAATTCGACCTAAAGTCCTAGTGTAGGCCAGTAAGTAGTTTCTTGTGGGAATGAGTTAAGTGTCTGCCTCGCTCCACACAAAACAGCCAAAGGAGGTGTGGTGCCTCTGCCCATCTCCTCAACCAGTTGTTAGTTCACCCACCTGAGAGGTGTAAGACCCAGATTCATGTCGCCCTTTCAGGCAGAGGAGGAGGAAGGATTTGGGGTCTTTTATCTCACAGCAGGTGGTACTAACCACTGAGCTATGGGATATTCTGATGTGAAACTTCCTCAGTCTCTGAAGACAGCACACTCCCTGTAGTTACTGTCCTTTGTTCCAGTTTCTTTCAGGTATCTTTGGGGGTGGAGAGGCTCTCTCTTTAGCCAGCTGAAGACAAAATGGAGAGGTCTCCCAGGGGTTTAAATAGACTTTCTCTTGAGGGTAGAGACCCCCTCCTCTCTCCTATGCAAAGTCCAGCTACAAAATGGAGTTTTGGAGTCACCTGGGCAAGTCACATGTCCATGCATGACTGAGTTCCTTAACCAGCCAAGCCACATTCCTGGGAAAGCCCAGATGTGGACTGGCGTCTCCAAGTTCATTTTTGGCTTAAGGGCTTTTTGATTGGGCACTTACTGAGAATAGTCTTTTCTCAGGAAGTTGACCAACTGCTTTACTAAAACCTACTCAGAATCAAACAAGTAGGCAGTCAATATTCATAACTTCGAATACAAAAATGATACATGCATACAAATAGGATTAATAGATTCAGTAGATCATAATCTTTACAGAGATATGTTATATGACATATGTAGCATAAAACACGTTCTAGTTATATCATATATTCATTTATAAGTATATATCCAAAAAGTCTTACGGGGCGCACCATCACAGGTAGCTCTGGGGTTTAGGCAGGAGGTAGGGCTACAGATGCCTTGAGTGATATGGCAATGGGCATGCTCAGAAACAGAAAACAAGGCACGAGGGAACTTTTACGCTGAAAACGGGCACCAACTGAGTTTAGGCACTTACAGGGTTGAGTGGGAGTTTTGTGGATTGCCATGGAAATTAAAACTGGGGTTTAGGCACTTAAGTACCTTTATGGATCAGGGCCTAAATCTCCCTGTTTCCCTCTGTAAAGTGGGCATAATCCCATTGTGGGAATAAACCATTAAATATTGGGAGGTGGGGACAGAGAAATTCCAGGCTCCTCTACTGAATCACCCTGGCTCAGATATTAAAACTCTGCATTAAGACAAGTCAGGGTAATCATAGCTGAGTCATACTAGCAGGTGAGTCCAATTAGCTCCAACCAGGCTATAAAGGGGATGGGTGTGTCTTCTTTTATTAACAGGAAGCTTCTAAGGCTAGCTAAGCTTAATGGGGAGGAATGTTTAGGTTGTTTGAGCCATCTCCAAAAATAATCTATTGCTAAAAATGGACATAACTTAGTGTAATTTAGTTGCAAGGGTAGCCAAGGGTAAACTGTGATCAGCTCTTTTACCCACAGTTACTGAAAAGGTACAGAATAAGGTTTGCTTGATCTATGCTGGTAACTACTACAGTTGGCATAGGATAACATGGCCCTGTTGTCAGCAATAGGTTGTGTGTGTTTGTTTTGTTTTTTTTAAATGTAGACAATACTAAAGAGAGTTTTAAACAGGAAGTTGACAGCTTGGTCAATCTTAAGTTTTAATGAATTGTTTCTTCTTTTCATGCCATTTTCTCCCATTTTTATGAACAGAGGAGGTTTTGGAACAAATTGATAAATTGAAACAGTAACAATTCACCAGAACCCGCTAGTATTCACCCAAGAGTTCTGAAGAAACTCAAACATGAAATTGCGGAACTACTGACTGTGGTATGTAATCTATCACTTAAAGTAGCTTCTATACCAGATGACTGGAGGATAGCTAATATGATTATAATAGCTAATAATTTCTTTAAAAGTTTTCAGAGGAGATCTTGCCAATTATAGGCCAATAAGCCTAACTGCAGTACCAGGCAAATTGGTTGAAACTAGAGTAAAGAACATAATTATCAAACACACAAATGAACATGATTTGTTGGGGAAGAGTCAATACGGCTTTTGTAAAGGGAAATCATGCCTCACCAATTTATGAGTGTTCTTTGATGGGGGTCAACAAACATGGACAAAGGTTATTCAGTGGATATGGTGTACTTGGACTTTCAGAAAACCTTTTGACAAAGTCCCTCACCGAAGGCTCTGAAGCAAAGTAAGCAGTAATGGAATAAGAGGGAAGGTCCTCTCATGGTTCAGTAATTGCTGAAAGGGCAGGAAACAAAGGGTAGGAATAAATGGTCAGTTTTCAGAATGAAGAGAGGTAAATAGTGGTGTGTCCCCCCACATGAGTCTGTACTGGGACCAGTGCTGTTTACCCCTTTTTTCAGATAATTTATGAATGTTAAACCATGAGGTGGCAAGATTTGCAGATGATACAAAATTACTCAAAATATTTAAGCCCAAAGTAGACTGTGAAGAGTAAGGGATCTCACAAAACTGGTTGACTGGGCAACAAAATGGCAAATGAAACTCAATGTTGATAAATGCAATGTAATGCACATTGGAAAACAATCCCAACAATACATAGAAAATGATGGACTCTAAATTAGCTATTACCACTCAAGAAAGAGATCTTGGAGTCATTATGGATAGTTCTCTGAAAACATCCACTCAATGTGCAGCGAAAAGAAAAGGAGTACTTGTGGCACCTTAGAGACTAACAAATTTATTAGAACATAAGTTTTCGTGAGCTACAGCTCACTTCATCGGATGTGCAGTGGCAGTCAAAAAAGCTAACAGTGTTGGGAACTATTAGGAAAGGGCTAGATAATGACAGTAAATGTCATAATGCCACTATATAAATCCATGGTACGCCCACATCTTCAATATTGTGTGCATTCTGGTCACCCCATCTCAAAAAAGAAATATTAGAATTGGAAAAGATATGAGAGAAAGGCAACAAAAAATGATTAGGGATATAGAACAGCTTCCATATGAGGAAAGATTAAAGAGACTGGAACTGTTCAGCTTGGAAAAGAGACAACTAAGGGGGAATATGATAAGAGTTCTATAAAATCATGAATGACCCGAAGAAAGTGAATACAGAAGTGTTATTTATCCCTTCACATAACACAAGAACTAGGGGTCACCTTATTAAATTAATAGGCAGCAGGTTTAAAAGAAACAAAAGGAAATACTTCTTCGCACAGTCAACCTGTGGAACTCGTTGCCAGAGAACGTTGTGAAGGTCAAAAGTATAACTGGGTTCAAAAAAGAATTAGATAAATTCCTGGAGGAGAAGTCATCAATGGCTATTAGCCAGGATGGGTAGGGATACAGCCCTATGCTCTGGGTGTCCCTAAGCCTCTGACTGCTAGAAGCTGGGAGTGCATGACAGGGGTGGATCACTCCATAACTGACCTGTTCTGTTCATTCCCTCTGAAGCACCTGGCATTAGACACTGTTGGAATACAGGATACTGGGCTAGATGGACCATTGTTCTGCCCCAATATGGCTGTTCTTATGTTCATTTTTTAAAAAATCCTTTCTTGTAGTGTACCAAGTATCAGAGGAGTAGCCATGTTAGTCTGTATCCACAAAAACAATGAGGAGTCCGGTGGCATCTTATAGACTAACAGATTTATTTGGGCATAAGCTTTCGTGGGTAAAAAACTCACTTCTTCAGATGCATGGACTGACAATGCATCTGAAGAAGTTGGTTTTTTACCTATGAAAGCTTTTGCCCAAATAAATCTGTTAGTCTTTAAGGTGCCACCGGACTCCTCATTGTTTTTCTTGTAGTGTGTAATACCTATGGGCAGCATTAGCAGGGGTAGCATTTTTGCTGCCTTCATATTTCCTAACTAGTATATCCCTTTCTCTGGTTTTAAAATCTTTGCACCATTCTTATTTCCAGTTCAAATTTGAATCTGAAAATGTTACTGGTATGGCTATGCTATACATGAATGAAATTAGAGAGACATATTCTAACGTCTGTTTCTTTACTTTGTGAATTTGACAAAACTTTGTGTACTGTTTGACTCTACAGGTGAAGCAATGAAACTGTTAGTAGTTTCACTGTGTGGATTTACACATAGCAATAGAGAAGAAACATTTTTAAAAAATGGTAAAACCACAAAAATTGGCAGAGAAACTCAAGGTCAGGTAAAACCTGAAACTACATTTTGACTTTTTTTTTATTATTATTATTTACTAGATTTCAAGTTGATAATTCCTTTTAAGAAGTTTTCAAGAATGTATTCTTTGCTATGGTCTTTAAAAATTTATATTGGAGGTACAAAGGCCACCTTTTTGCTTGTCCACATTCACTATACTCAACATGCAAACTGTACAACAGGTACTTGGCTTTATACATACTTGTCTATAACACTCTGTGACCTTTTACCATCATACAATAACATAATTTAAGGCTCTGGGTCAAGGAGGTTTGTATCTATAAGATATAAATCTGTGTTCAGTGATACCTGGGGTGAAAGTAACTTAAGTGACTTACCAGTGCACAGGGCTGGGGCCTCAACTGGAAAGGGCGCGGCCTTTAAACCCCTGGTAGCAGCGGCTGGGAGCCCCGAGCCCTTTAAATCACCACCGGAGCCCCATGGCAGCGGTAGCAGCCACCGGGAGCCCCAGGACTGGTGGCAA